ACGGGAATCTACTCTCCTTCACTTCGTCTGCGTCTCAGCTTAGAGAGTGGGGGACTCCTGATGGAGTATATGGGTCTGAGCCCCCGGACCCACATACTCAGAAGAACAGAAAGCACAAAACACAGGGTGGCGCCCTCGTCGGCCAAGGGACCCCCGTCGGCCGAAAAGGTGCCAACCCAGATTATGGTCCTGACCCCAAGAAACTCGGGTGCCCTCGTCGGCCGCGCCCTCGTCGACCGTGCCCTCGACGGCCACGCCCTCGTCGGCCACGAAGACCTCACAGAACCGGATTCTACACTTACTCATTTGTACAGCCCATTAGTGGCTTTGTATTCGGCCCAGTAGCGGTCCAGTTGTAAATGGGCCTCCCAAGCCCAAGGCTTGGGAGCCCAGCCCGTATTTTCTCTATAAATACTCCACTTGGGAGTAGTTATAGGGGTGACAGATTCATTCTATTGAAGCATATTATTGCACTTCTCTCTCTAGCTCTCACTTCTCTCTAGATATACTCTATCAGTATGTATGTATGTATGTATGTATGTATGTATGTATGTATGTATGTATGTATGTATGTATGTATGTATGTATGTATGTATGTATGTATGTATGTATGTATGTATGTGTGTATGTATGTGTGTGTGTGTGTGTCTATATATATATATATATTATAATGTAGTTTTTGTTTAAGGTTTTATGTATGATTTTATTGGGGAATTGAAGTGTGACTTTGTATTTAATTTTTTGGGAGGTACTAGATTTTGCATTCCATCTTCACAAAAATTTATTTGTCATCCCGCTAGTCAAACATTTGTGAAGAAATGGGGTGCAAAGTATAAAAATAAATAACATGGAGTACATCACACGCTGATTTTTATGAAATTGAGATGCAAAATATAATTTACCAGAACTTGGGGTGAAGTCAAAATTCCCCTTTATATATTTTGTTAAGTGTTTACTTTCCTTGTATGTTGTCTATTCCATAACTTATACTCCGTGTCTGTATAATAAAACACTTCTGCTGCTAAAGTATAAAATCACAAAATAAAATCTTAAAATGAAATATCAAAAGTCAAGAAAAAATCAATTAACTAAACATTAGTGCGTTAATATGAAGTATCTAAAATATTATAAGTATTTTATCAATTTCGGACGTTAAAGTTGACTTTATTATCAATTCAGGATCTGAAAGATTTTCTTTATCGATAAGAGAACTAAAAAATCATAATCTATAAATATAGGACTCAAAAAATTAACCCCGTTATGTTACCGTTAACGTAAGTATGGTGTGTCAGAAATAATTAAAAGTAATAATTTACTTTGCTGACTCTAAAAATAGCTAAATACTACTCCCTCCGTTCTGCTAACAATGAGACAAGACGGAATGACACGGAAATTAATAAAAAGTGATTTATGTAGTTGATATTAAATTGATAAAGTAAGAATGATTTAGAGCCACCTAAACTTTACCAAATTTGGTATGAGATAAATTTAGTGGGACGAACCGATAAGGTAAAATGAGACAATCACAGCGTCAGGGAGGTAGTAGGAAGTACATGTTATACGTAAGACTTATTCCACAGGTGCACGATCTAGGTTTGCCTTTAGCGCAGAAGATAGTTATTCGCCATCTTTTTTTATCCTCCAGGGTTAGGAGAAATTCGTATGCGAAGGTTTGCGTTTTTTTATCTTCCCTACCTTTTCTTCCATCTTCACACAGCTCTGCAAGAAAGCTTGAATTCTAATCATCGTTTAATTTTAACCCTAACTCTATGTATCTGTTTTTTAGAAAGTCTTAGTCTTTATTCTTTAATCAAAATGCAAAGAAAGATCATGCGTGCTTATATAGGTAAGGAGAACCAGAAAACTGTCTTCTCTGAGAGACAAAAGTACCCCCAATGAATATATAATTATACAAGTAAGCAGTGCCGATCCTATCTAAACCCGGCCCTGAGTCGAGCTGCATAAATATGCCATAAACACAATGATTCTTTGTCATATAGAATCATATAAATTTAATGATTAAATATCACAAAATCGTAAATCTTAAAATAAAGTCTTGCATTATAGCAAAGTGACATTGGGTGTATTAAAAAACTAATCAAGTACAACTCGTCGAACATTTTTAGATGCAAATGTACTAATCAAGTCGGCATAGTCTATGCTATCAATGAATTACTTCTCAATTGATAACATAACTAATCCATTCAACCTTTTTTGGGACATGGTTGAAGATGTACTCTCCGAAGTGGCACTCTTATTCGAAATCAAGTACTACATACTTAATAATGTTTCGGCCTGACTTTGAGTTAATGATTCGATTTTGTTTTCCTCTTTTGATATCGAGACATAGATTTGAGAGGCATGGTACTAAAAAATAAATAAATACATAATTTAGTGGAATCCTTAACAATATATATTAGTAATTCTCACTATAAAATACTCCACAAAGCATTTAATTTAATTAATGTGAATTGAGAATTTCACAATTGCAATATTGTTAACACTAAATAAAAAACAAGCAAGAATCAACTAGTATTTAAAAATATACAAATTAGTATATTTGGCATTCAAACACCAGAAAGATTGAACTTAGTAAATGGGAGAAGAAGGATGAATAGTAGAAATGATATGAGTTGTATGAGTTGTGTCTCATCTTTACAAACCTCCCATAAGGAGTATATCTAGGGAGAATCCGGGCCTCAGTCTCTAATATGGGCCTGACAGACCCGGTTACATAAATGAACTGATAGTATAAAAAGCTAATCTAGAACATCTGAATAACAATAATAATGTACCATAATATGAATGGTATCTGCTAAACGTGTGTGGGCCGCTGTCCAAGCCCAGTAGTCGGCAGACCGAGGGGTCGGAGTCCATATACTCCATCACCACACATAATGGGTAGGGTTGTGGAATTGAAATCTCAAACTCGATCGTAGCCGACCCAACTAATAAAATTCATTTTGCTATTATTGTGCTACAATGTTTTCTTGAACAACTTCAATCTACGACAAATGTGCTCTATCTAGAACTTTATGATATTAGAATTATAATTAAACATTTATCATTTTAACTAGGTGATTATTATATATTTACATTAGTTTCTAAATGAACTTCCTTTACAGAAGGATGTTTTAATACTATTACCCAAAGTTTTTTTAAAAGATACTTGTATTTGTTTGTGGGTTTTGGAAACAAGTTGATCGAGTTTTAAATTGGTTACATTAGTTTCCCACATTAAAGGTGCAACCCAATGTAATTTTTTTTCAAAAACCCGAGCCTACCGACCTGTTCGTGTATGGTTTAACAACTTATATTGCATATCACGGGTTGATTTATAGCCAACCCGAACAAATTGGGTAGGCCCAAAAAATATACCAAACCCGACCCAACCCGCCCAATGTGCAGCCCTACTAGAGACCCTACCCTAGCAAAGGAGAAAACTTAACTCTAATTTCTTTCTTTTTTATAGGGGTGGGCACGGTCCGTAACGGTCCGGTAGATTGGTAAAACTCGTAATGTATCTGTGAGGTTTTTAACGGTCCGGTACGGTCCGGTTCCAAGGATAGAACCGTTCAGTACCATATCGTTTCGGAACGGTACAAAACAGTACGGTACAATGCCAAACACATGCTAATTTTTTTGAACAAATCTTGCAATTAGTAGATATCATCACACCAACCAACTCACATGAAATGTTGAAATAAATACAAGAAATTGCATACCTAGTACTAAAATTCACAAATACACAAATAATGCAACATAACTAAGAAAAAATATAGCAAAACGATGACACACGTGATAAATATCATTTTTAATTTACTAAGTTCATGTGAAAATATAAAAACAAATATCATCAAATTGTTGAATATAATAGAAATCTTCAACGTTCTTCTTCGTCGGTCTAGGTTAAATATTACTCCGTAGTTCTAATTTAATTTATAGTTGAACCTTGAGAGCTAAGATTTAACCATATTAACTAAGTTGTAAAAAATGCACAAACATGATACAACAAAAAGAAGTCATGTACACTATATTACTAGAAATAAATAATCATTAATTATTTCTAAAGTTTTGATATTCTTTCAATACATACCAAAATATAACATAAATTATCTAAAAAAACAAACAATATATATATATAGGGGAGAGTTCAAATACAAAGAGGTCTTCCCATGCAAAGTGAGAATTAATCTCGTGGGTTCATTTTGAGATCTAATGGCTCAAAATGAGCCAAAAGTGAACTAAATTTGATCAAAAACGCGGTGGCAATTTTGTAATTAAAACGAAGTTTTTTGCCATCGCGAAAAAGTGCAACAGAAACACGCAAAAGTGCAACGCGATTAAGAAAAAGTGCAATTGTTCGCACTTTGCACGGGAGAACCTCTTTTTATTTGATCTCTTCCCTATATATATATATATATATATATATATATATATATATATATATATATATATATATATATATATATATATATATATATATATATATATATATATATATATATATACACAACACATTTTATTTATCTTAGCGACACATGAATACATACTTGAGGTATAAAATTGTTGGTCTAGATCTATTGATATAAAAAAAATATAAAAAATTCAAATGCATTATTTATGAACGGTTCGATCCGGTATTTTTCGATTCTCAAAATCTAGGATCGGCCCCGTATCCGTTTCAAACGGTACAATTTTGGTATGAGATAAAAATCTATAGAACCATTTAAATACCCGGTATTCGATTCGGTACCATTACAGAACGATTCGATACCGGTTCGGTTCGGGTTTTATGTCCACCCTGCTTTTTTATTTCCTGCGACCAACCAAACAAAGAATTAATGGTATTCATACAGGAAATTAGACGCAGCGTTTTTATTATTCGGACGATCCATACAGAGAGAGCGACAGGCTTGAGAGGGACCACATGGAAAACAAATGAAAGAAGAGATCCTCTGACTGGGAGATGCGATTTCTTTATTACTCCCATTGTTTGTCTCTGCTGCCATTTTAAATCTCCCCATCTTTCCTTTAATTTCATCCCATCCTTTTATCACCAGGCCACCTTCTTCATAGTTCACAAGTCATTTACTATATATTGCCTTCTCTGTCACCTTTCTTCAGACCCATCCTCCTCTCCCACTTTCACAATCTTCTGAACCTTACCTGTATTTAGTAAAAGACACTTTTTTTTTAATTCTGAGAAATGGGAACTGGTTGGAGAAAAGCTTTCTGCACTACTATCCCTAAAGACAGAGAGCTCAAATTTGTTGATAACAATCTTCTTCAGCAAGATCATCATCAACAGCTACATACTGAGGATAGCAGTTCTCCTCGCCTGCCTTGCACAAAACCTTCTTCAAATCAACACGACATTGATGATCTTTTCAGCCCAAAGCTCCATTGCAAAACTACCAGTCCCAAATCTAACTCTTCGAATACCCCAAAATGTACTCAGTCCTGGATCACTGCTTCGCCCAGATTCTCCTTTTCAACCATCAAGAACACTCTCCGTCTATCCAAGGTACCTCTCACGAAAAGATTCAATTTTTTAAATATCATACCATCATATAATTTTGAGTTTTTGGGATAATAAAATAATGAACAACTCTAACTTATTTAGTTTTACTTTTGGATGTGCAGAATAGCTGTGGAGTTTGTATGCTTGGTGTTAAGAATAAGCAGGCGCTGGCGATTTACACTGCTGAATGTTCTCACACTTTTCATTTCTCTTGCATCGTCTCGCACTGCAGAAAACAGAGCACTCTGTCCTGTCCTGTTTGCAACTGCGTCTGGAGCGATGTGCCTCTTCTCTCTCACAATCTTAGACAGCAAGAAGAACAGAGTATTGTACAAAAACCAGAACGGATTCAGGAGAAGCAAATTATCAAAGAACCCGAACCCAAGTTCCGCAATACTGGCTCTAAAAAGAGCAGTATACGTTTGAAATTGTATAATGATGACGAGCCGTTACTTTCCCCCACCGCTGGTGATAGGAAGTTTACTGCAATTCCTGAGGTAGTGAGTGAAACGGAAGAAGATTGGGAGGAGGAAGAGTTTCAGGGATTTTTCGTGAATCCAATTTCAAGCAATGAAGCTTTTGTTAATCAGAGGCAGAGTAGGAATGTGGAGGTGACAATCTTGCCAGAAGCAGCTGTTGTATCTGTTGGTAAAACGCATGAGACTTATGCCGTCGTTTTGAAGGTGAAAGCGCCGCCGTCGCCTGCGGTGGATAGCGGAAGCGGCTCCCGGCAACTCACAGACTTGGCACGGCGCGCGCCGATTGATTTAGTGGCTGTGCTCGACGTTAGTGGGAGCATGGGCGGCGCAAAGCTGCAGATGTTGAAACGAGCCATGCGTTTGGTTATTTCCTCTCTTGGCTCGGCTGACCGGCTCTCAATAGTGTCTTTCTCCGCCGCGCCGAAAAGGCTGTTACCGTTAAGGAGAATGACGGCTGAGGGACAAAAATCGGCTCGAAGGATCGTTGACCGGCTCACCTGCAGCCAGGGGACTTGTGTTGACGAAGCCTTAAAGGTAGCCGGCAAAGTCCTAGAGCACCGGCGCGTGAGAAATCCGGTCGCCAGCATCATATTGTTGTCCGGCGGTCAAGACAATAAAGTCAAAAAAAGAGTTGACCGAAACAGGCAGCGGGACACAACTCAAGACCCATCAACCCGGTTTGCTCACTTTGAAATACCGGTCAACCCGACCAAAGCCGGCTTCAGTAAAAATGCCGGCTTTGAGCCGAACGAGGACGCTTTTTCCAAATGCGTGAGCGGTTTGTTAAGTGTTGTAGCACAAGAGGTGACGATTCAACTCGGGTTTTCTGACCACTCTGACCCGGCTGAGGTTACTGCCGTCTATTCCTATAATTCCCGGCCGGCTGTTTTGAACCCGGTTTCGATCCGGCTCGGTGACCTTTACGCGGAGGAAGAAAGAGAATTGCTAGTGGAAGTTAGGGTTCCTCCTACCTCCAGCCGGGCCCACCACGTGTTGTCTTTAAGATGCTGTTATAAAGACCCTGCCATGCAGCAGGATTCCGTTAATGTTCGGGAAGAATCTCTGCTGCTACCGACACCACAAGCCGTTCGATCAGCTTCAGCCACCATCCAACGGCTTAGAAATCTTTTTATTACCACAAGGGCAATAGCCGAGTCGCGGCGGTTGACCGAGCATGGGGAGTTGACCAGTGCAAAACACATTTTATTGTCGGCTCGAAGCTTGCTGAACCTATCCGGCTCGTGTTGCGTGGCTGAATACGTCCGAGGGTTGGAAGCCGAGCTGACCAAAATGGGGTCGTGGAAGGAACATCACCAGGCGCTAAGGAAGGTGATCCAACGGCCGAGGCCGTTTGAAAGAGAATCGGCCGTGTTAATAGGGGAAAATGATGAGCCGCTTACGCCGACAACGGCTTGGAGGGCGGCTGAGAGACTGGCTAACGTAGCCATGATGAAGAAGCCGGTTACTAGAGTCAGCGACTTACATGGCTTTGAAAATGCTTGGTTCTGAATTTTATTTCTTTTAGATTTTTCTGTTTATTTAGAAATAAAAACAAGTTGACAACTCTGGTACTCATTTAAAAAATGAGATACCGTACATGTCACTTAATTTAAATCAATACATCATTTTTAATTTATATTTAAATAATTCAACCACATTATTTTGATTAATCCATGTAGACAAATGTACCATACCTTATCAATCTACCTAAAAACAAAAGAAGAGTAATGTTGATGGGCCACATGTATCTACCAGTCACATTATGGATTATGGTTGGATAGGCTAGACCTTGTCTGTAGTCTGTGGACCACTTGGGCTGGCCCACGCATTGTTTGACTGATGGTCCATATGACCATATCTTTGCCTAATCGTGAGAGGGATAGCGAGATTTGACTGAAAGTGAGGTCAATTCAGTTCTCCTCGATCTCTTCATAAAAAAGCCTTCACACAATATTTTGTTTGTGCAAAACATCGCTATGAATCGATGTTCACAGACAAAAAAAAGCTTTCACAGACATAGGTGTGTACAAAAGTGTGTATAAAAGTGTGTACAAACATCATTTTTGATTGGAATCTGAGGCTAATGATTTGGAAATGTCTGGTTGATACTCCGTAAAGAAAATTCGTTGTACACGCTAAATTTTACACGCCGGGTTAAACACATGTAAAATTATCTGTGTACAGATAATTTGATCGTCTACACAGACATTTTGAGCAGCGTTTTACGAAGAAAATCGATTTTCACACAGAGAAATAAAAAAAAGTCTGTATCACAGACACTTTATGAAAAATTCAGGTCTAAAATGTCTGTGATATAGACAACTCTTAATATTTTGTATGTATAGAAATCGATTTTCTTCTTAAAACGTCAGTCAAATTGTATGTCCAGCCGATCAAATTGTCTGTATACAGACAATTTGACCGGCGTGTAACCCGACGTGTAACCCGGCGTGTACATGAAGCGGGACTCGCAGATCTGATCCCTGAAGATGAAGTGCGTGGGAGAGTGCGCCGCGATGCTACTTCCAAGCGATGAAGCAACAGGTCACCTATAGTCACCCGCAACAACGAATAGAGGTGGGGATCCGGGGACTTGGTTGGCCGCCGGCACCAGGTCAACGACGTAGGGTTTCTCGGAAGTCGGAACAGTGAAGATGGACCACGGTTGTTGGACATTTTTTTTGCTTTTCATTTAATTCTTTTTACTGGTTCATTAAGTCTCAGATTACCTGAGATCAATTTGAGAAGGACACATGTAAATTTCAGATTATTCCAGAATTATGTATATTTAGGAATAATATTGGAAGATGGTTAATAATTGAGATTATTAATGTCAAGGCTAATTTTGGTAAGTAGTCCAATTCATTAAACACGTGTAGTCATGTTTAATGTGATGGCTAATTTTGGTAATTAGTCCAATTCAGTTCTCCATTTTTTTTAATTAATTATAACATGTTTAATTTTACATTTTTACATACTATACTTGACTGCATTTTATTAATTAATTTGTGAGAGTTATTTTCTTCAAATACATATTGTTCAATTCATCCCATTACAAATTTTCAAAATCTATTTTTTACATTTTTATTAGTAACAGAGAATAAGATATATTGACAATAAAAGATGTGCATTGGCAAATGTGCAAAGTTAATTGTTACAACTAAAAAAGAACGAACAAGTATCTCCCTCGAGTTTGTTTTTATATGTGAGTCACTACTACAAAAACACAACAATTCTATACCCTATTGGGCATTTGTGCGTTTCAAAGGTTTTATTATAGATAAACTACACATCCGTGATTCAGTGCTGTGTTTTCAATTGCTTGAAACTGTTATAGGTAGGGGCAGAACTAGTGCACTTGGTCGCATTAGACCGGAACAAAGAATATTTTGAAAAAATTACAACGAATTTTAACATTAAAAATATGAACATTTTTAAAATTTCAGATTGACCGGGGTCAGGTTTGCCACCCAGCTACGCCCTGGTTGGCTGGTTATAATATGCGAAATTTGTCGTTAGGTCAGTTGCCACGAAATGACTTGCTTATTACACGAGGATGATTTTACCAAATGTTTTACTACATATATCATTCATTTCAACTTGAATTATTTTTTGGAAAAAGGTGCAAATAGGCCCATGTACTAACCAAAAAGGGTCAAATAAGCCCTTATTTAGGAGGCTCTGTTCGGCCGTCGTCATTTGGGGTGGTTTCTGGTGGAATTTTTTGATGAATTTTTTTTAGAATCTTATTCATCAAGTCTAGTTTACTCATACAAAATTTCAGCTAAAACTTCAATCGGGAAGGCATTCAAATGAATTCTTAAATATAACTGCGCAGTTATTTTCAAGAATTCATTTGAATGCCTTCCCGGTTGAATTTTTAGCTGAAATTTGGTATGAGTAAACTAGACTCGATGAATAAGATTCACAAAAAAATTCATCAAAAAATTTCATGGGAACCACCCCAAATGGCGATGACCGGAGAGAGCCTCCTAAATAAGGGCTTATTTGACCTTTTTTGGTTAGTACATGGACCTTATTTTTTAGGTTTTATAATTTTTCTACTCAGGATTCAAACTTTTTATTTCTTTCAAGTGCTAGTGCTAAAACACTCTCTACCATGACTTAAAAATACACTTGTTGGGATATTGGACCGCAAACTCAATACCCGGATCCAAGGCCCAATATATCCAGTCCGATAAACGGACCTAGAATCCAGAAGATGAACAGGCTCATGGAAAAATATGTATCGAACGGGGTTCGGGTCAACCAATATACTTGGGCCAGATCAATGATGATTCGAGCAGGGTCCACTACCCGTTCGGGCAACAGGAAGCCAACAAGTGGCAGGGAGCATTTATTGCTAAAGTATGACGTCAACAAGTGAGAGTATGGACTTAAAGTGGCCGGATTAGCAACCAATTAGCATGGAGCACCCATACCCCCCATTAGTATAAATAGAAGGATTAATTTCATTGTAAAGGGTTAGCTTCTTGATATTCAAGGCCTAGAATAGATTTCTCTCTTATTTCTTGTATTAGTCACTATTCTGACGTACCGTTCAGGAAGTTTACAGTGTAATCATCAAATTACTTAATACAAGTGAGATTTTGAGCATTCGATTTGATTCATCTTTTATATTTCTTTTTTACAAGTGATTCTTTACTCATTTTCCTGATATATCCAAAGTTCATGTTGGGCTTTCGGATCTGCGAGACTAAACCTCAACATTGGCGCCGTCTGTGGGAAACTGAACAAAAAAAAATTCACACCAAAACATCAAACTAATTCCAAAAAGGTTAGAATCACTTCTCATCACACCGGTGAAACTTCAGGAAGACGTGTGGAAAGTCAGAGCCCCCAAGGGCAATCCAGCCGGGGGTCCTACCCGCACTTATTTGTTTAGGAAATAAGTGATCAGAACCGATCTAAGAAGTTGTTTTGTTCGTCTTATTCTTATTACTTATTGCTTATTCTTATTTTATTCAGATCAGATCAGAAAAATTGAGATCAGATCAGATCAAATCAGGAAGATTCAGATCAGATCAGATCCATTCAGATTAGATCAGATCAGAAAGATTCATATCAGATCAGACCAGATCAAACATTCAAATCAGATCAAATCAGAAAGTTCACCTGATCTGAATGTTTCTGATCTGAATTTTTTAAGTTTTGATCTGATCTCAATTTTTCTAATCTGATCTGATTTGAATCTTTCTGATTTGATCTGAATCATTCTGATATGGTTTGATCTGATCTGAATCTTTCTGATCTGATCTGATCTGAATCCTTCTGATCTGGTGTGATTTGAATATTTCTATAATTATATTGTAATTGTAATTATAATATTTATTTCTATAATTATAATTATTATTACTCTGTATAATAATAATAATAATAATAATATTAATAATAATAATAATAATAATAATTGTAATAATAATAATAACAACAACAACAACAACAACAACAACAATAATAATAATACTGATGATGATGATGATATTGATCTGAATCTGAATGTTTCTGATCTGCTCTGAATGGTTCTGATCTGATCTGAATCTTTCTAATCTGTTCTGAATGTTTCTGATCTGATCTGAATGGTTCCGATCTAGTCTGATCTGATCTAAATCTTTCTAACCTGATCTAAATTTTTCTGATCTCATTTGATCTGATTTGAATAAAATAAGAATAAACAATAAGTAATAAGAATAAGACAAACAGAACATCTTCTAAGAAGCGGACGACTCGCACTTAGGGTTCTCTACTAGAATTGCGAAAGTTTTTTGGGTCGGCGATGACATTGGCTCGGCAAGCAGGACTGATCGGAGGGTGTTTGGACGGGTCGCACAACATAATTCGAATGATAGAGAGCGTTGTGCAGACCGACAAAGCAAAGCGAGAGGACAAAAGGTGGAGATGGAGGACAATCTTGAACAAAAGGAAGTTTGATCGCTGACTAAGGCGTATGGGAGAATGGAGAGGAACGATGAGGACGAAGTTTTGATGGCGGAGGCTACAACGTCAAGGGCTGTGGATGGGATCCGAACGATGAAGGATGAAGATGAAGTGATGATGATCTGGGCCCCTCCTGAACCGCCACCATGGAGGATCTGTGAGACTAGGGTTCTTGCTGCCACCATGGGTGAGCTGATCCATCAATTTATCTTTTTTAATTTCGTTTCATTCAGGTTTAGTTTTTTAATAAGGAACTCTTTTCTTATCATTTTTTTTGATTAAAATTCGTGGTACTAGGTTTATTACGATGACTGAGGCTTCGACTAGATTTGATATGGTTAGTGGGGAACGGATCTATTTGTTCATTAATAGTTGTATTAAGCTCGTCTAGTTGGAAACAACTAATAGAAAACTTGGTAGCTTTTCTGCTAGTGAAGATACAAAATCAAGCCACTTTCAAAAGTTTTGGGTATTGATTTGTACATTCTCATTGTTTTACAGTTTTAAATGTCATTTATGATTACTTTTTTATTTACAACTTTTTTTTGTAATTAAAAATCAGCTTTAGCGTTTTATTTTTTTCTATCATGACATTTTGTTGTAGTGTAATTGGTATTTTTGGTGGAGCCCCTTAGGAGATATTAGCAATAAATATATGTAAAAGTGGTAAGTTACCTACTCCATTTTTTAAATTCATTTTTCAAATATAATTTTAGGTTTATGTAATTATGAAAAAAAATTACGAGTCGCTTACACCATGAAAATGATGTGCATAGTAAAT